ACTCCTATCAACCCCACGGATGAACCACCATCAACAAGATGGAATTTTACTAAGGCCAACTGGCCTTTATTCCAAACCCTATGTTCAGAAAAACTTAAGCCAGACAACTTCACGAATGTTCCTGACCCCATGGAACTATTTTCAGACGTCCTAAATGCCATCGGAGACAAAAGTATTCCCAAGTCCTCTGCAAACCCGCACATACGCAAACCATGGTTTGATACAAACTGCAAAATAGAAAGAAGGCGGAAAAATATTTCCGACAACATCCTACAGTGCATAACCTGAATGCTGTTAAAATGACGAATGCCAGGGCAAAACGTACCTTCAAACAAACTAAACGCCGCTCATGGAGGAAATATGTGCCAAAAATCAACTCCCGCACACCCATGTCCAAGGTGTGGAACATGATTCAAAAGATCAAGGGCAAAGGGGCAAAATCAGGAGTTCACCACCTGAAAGATGGCGACTCCCTTCTAACAAATAAATCTGAAATTGCAAACAAGCTTGACGAAACTTTGGCAAACCACTCCTCCTCATCAAATTATAACCCTCAGTTCCAGAAATATCAAACCAAACAAGAAAAGAAACCAGTCAATTTTAACTCTGATAATGGGGAAGATTACAACGAAACGTTTTCCCTCCATGAATTACGTACTGCCCTAGAACAGGCTCACGACACTGCGGCAGGAGCTGATGAAATCCATTATCAGCTTCTGATACACCTCCCTGACATAGGCTTGGAAACACTCCTAAATATATTTGATGACATCTGGACATCCGGACACTTCCCCCTTCGTGGCACAATGCCATCATCATCCCTATACCAAAACCCGGTCGCGACCATACTGATCCCTCAAACTACCGTCCTATATCACTAACTAGCTGCGTTTGCAAAACCATGGAGCGCATGGTCAACAATCGATTAATCTGGTACTTGGAGACCAATAACCTCCTCAGTGATCTCCAATGTGGTTTCCGAAAAAAACGAAATACCATTGACCATCTGGTACGTCTGGAAGCATTCATCAAAAACTCCATTGTCAACAAACAACATGCAGTATCTATCTTTTTCGACTTAGAAAAAGCATATGATACAACATGGAAACATGGTATCCTAAAAGATTTACACGAGTTGGGATTGAGGGGTAGACTACCTCAATTCATATCTCGGTTTCTAAATAACAGACAATTCCAAGTTCGGGTGGGTTCCTCACTGTCTGACTACTTCCACCAAGATCAGGGCGTCCCCGAAGGCAGCATCCTGTCTGTCACACTTTTTAGCATCAAAATTAACAGCCTCACTAACGTTCTGAACAGTTGCGTTGATGGGTCCCTTTTCGTGGATGACTTCAATATTTCATGTCGTGGTAAGAACATGCACGCAATAGAAAGGCAGCTACAACTCTGCCTTAACAAAATCCAAACATGGGCCAATGAAAATGGTTTTAAGTTTTCAAAATCCAAAACGAATTGTATTCACTTTTGTCGTAAATACAAACCACACAAGGATCCAGACCTAACTTTAGATGGTACTCCCATCAAAGTAGTAGAAGAGGCCAAATTCCTTGGACTCATATTCGACCGCCACCTGACATTCTTACCACACATAACATATTTGAAAACAAAGTGCCTGAAGGCTTTAGACTTGCTAAAAGTAGTTTCAAATACAGAGTGGGGAGGGGATCAGACCACCCTCCTTCACCTGTACAGATCATTAGTCCGCAGTAAACTAGATTATGGCTCCATTGTCTACGGTGGAGCCTGCAAAAGCAATTTAGAAAAATTAGACTCTATCCACCACCAAGGACTAAGGCTCTGCCTGGGAGCTTTTAGGACCTCTCCGGTAGACAGTCTATATGCGGAGGCCAATGAACCTTCCCTTGAACAACGCCGCATTTAACTCTCACTGCAGTATATCACTAAATTACGTTCAAATGAGTCAAATCCAGCATACAATTGTGTTTTCAACCCGCTCTACGAAAACTTATTTCCTAAACTGCCAAGCCTGGTTCCACCACTTGGAATCAGGATCAAACCACACATAACTGCAGCTAAAATTGATCTCAATATCATTGCGCCTTACCGACTTCTGTCCTCACCACCATGGCAAATGGTGAAACCACAAGTCGATCTTACCCTCACCAAACTCAAAAAGTCTGAAACAAATCCCTTGGTGTTCCAACAGGAATACAACCAGTTACATTCGAAGTATAACACTCACAGATCCATCTTCACAGACGGATCCAAGGACGATGGCCAAGTTGCCAGCGCTACAGTCATTGGAGCCAAGACTGTCTCCTCTAGGATCCCCGACAACAGTTCCATTTTCACCGCTGAAGCCAAAGCTATCTTCTCAGCTTTGACCTACATTCAACAGCAAAATCAGTCCAAAAACTTCATCGTATTTACAGATTCATTATCCTGCCTTCAAGCACTTCTAAACGTGACTTCAAGTCACCCAATCATCCTGGACATATTAGAACTGTACAACGACCTTTCTACTAGCCAATATGACATCATCCTCTGCTGGTTGCCGGGTCACGTCGGCATAGCAGGTAACACTAAGGCCGATGCTGCAGCAAAAGCAGCTCTTGAAAAGCCCCTATCTCGACTGCTAATCCCGTACAGTGATTTCAAACCCACTATCCAAAACTATACTCGGGTCTTGATGCAAAAAAGGTGGGACACTCAAGTAGGAAGAAACAAACTCCATGAATTGAAGCCAACAATCGGTTATACCTACTTGGGTTGCCAGTCAAGACATGATGAAGTAATTTTACGACGATGTCGTATTGGCCACAGTCGGTTTACACATGACTATCTGCTAAAAACAGATGGGGATGGACCCCCAATATGTCTCTCCTGCGATGAGGCTCTCACCGTCAAGCATATTCTGCTTGACTGTGTGGATTTTACATCTGTAAGGGACTCGCATTATCACGCAACCAATCTGAAAGATCTGTTCTCCAGCGTGAGCGCTCATCTGATACTAAACTACCTGAGGGAAGTCGATCTATATCATAAAATGTAACTGTGTAATGTCAATAACGAATGTACCTGCTTTTCAATCTAGTGCTATGATATTCTCTGTTCTAAAATGACAACGTAATGAATGTATGTCTTTGAAACGAAACCACTTTGTACTTACAATGTATATTAATGCAGACTTGTTCTGGTCACTATATGGCTGGAATAATGCCGATGTGACGTAAAGCCAAACTCAACTCAACTCAACTCCAAACTAAAGTACACGTATTACAGAATTCACGAAATGACAGTAAACTGAATTATTATAGTGTATAAACTTGCAGTTCAAACACACACACACACACACACACACACACACACACACCAATATTTATGAAGGTGGGCGTGCCTATATTTATACTGAATGCAAACGAGGTTCATAAGATTACAGATGTCCATGCATGCATAAACATTACAGAGAGGGGCGTGACTCCATAAAGCAAGTTGCCCAATGATACAACAGAGCATCTGTTTATTTTACACTTGTCGAGGGACAAACCTTTTGAAAAGGACGTAACTAAATATGCATTTTACCGGAGGCTGATATTTCAAGGTCGAAAGAGGTGTTCAATTATCTCATTACTGTAATCTGATTGAATGATTATACGTATGTGTATCGATACCGTTACTGATATACTATCCAGCTTTTATTCACGATGGATCAATAGAGACTAAGTTCATTGATACACGTGATAATTACACCGGATTTGATAATTACACAAATCAAATGCAAATGTTTTACACAATGCTCATGTAAATTGCACAGAAAACTGACAATTCAAATCAACATGAAACTTTCAACAGCTTGAACAAAAATGCTTGAAATACCATTGTATGGTTTACATGTAATAACTTATGATATTACTTCTGTTTAGGTGTGAGAATTTTTTTAATCACCAACTTACTGTGTTTCGTAACAAGCGTAGTAAAAGACTTCATTGTTGTAATAACACTGACATGTATATATATTCGATGCAAAGGCGTGACTTATCACTTTATATTCGATTAGGTAACATTATCAACTATAGATTATGGAAAATAACTAGTTACAATTCAGTAAGCTTCAAATTAGTAAGTTAAATTATGCCTAATCTATTCGAGTTTGGATGTATAATTATTTGTGTTTATACATTATGTTTCATTATATGAAACATGACAACGTAATAATACCTAAAATGTAAATTCAAACTATTCTATTGTGTTTGAATTCTTTGTATGTCCTTGAAATTTCGTATATTGTTTCCTATTTATTAGGAAGTTGAAGAAAATATAATCTTCAGTAACCTCTAAACCATTACATCTAATGCAATCAATGTGCATACGAAGTATTTTAGTATCCATTCCCAATGAAGAGTACCAGACACTGTAAAAACATCATATTCCCCTTTCTCGCCGACATGTGTTCATTTGCCAAACGCTGTACAAGCCTATGATAATGATTAGCAATTGTTATCAAAACACTTTAAATACTTCTTCTGATTGACACTAAAGGTTGCATCTCTCGTAAGAAAAGCTAATAATTGCTCAGTACTACTAAATTGGTTGAAATAATAGGTACAGTGCGATTATTAAAAGTACGACACACATTTGCGTCTCGCGCTGAATAAGAGGTGCTTTCTGTTGACGAATATATGTGGCTCTCGCTGTGAGAAACTGCTAATTACCTAGCCCATGAACACGTCACTCGCTGTGAAGAGCTGATTATTTTGCCCCATATATGCGTCTCTCGGCCTTCATGAGTTAATTGAGCAATTCATTATTTGCATTCGTACCTAACTCTTACTGTTATGTTTAGCCAAGGTCTGTATTAACAGGGGTGGTAGGATAGCCCCCTTTGCACGTCACGCCGAAGACCCAGGTTCAACTCTCCCCATGGGTACATTGTGTGAAGCACATGATATTGCTGGAACATTGATAAAAGTCACTTAAAACACCTATACCCACCTTACCAATATATACAGTATATAGCCTTTTTGTATGGATCATGGATAGATTATATAACTGACTTAGAACAAGTGTAGGAGGACAAATCCTGACCAGCCTGTGTTGACTCTCTTCTACGAGGACATGAAGCAGGTGAGGATTGGCACCACTTGGAGAACTATATTCCTGTTATACTATCGATGTTATACTACTGATAATCAGGTTCATGCACGTAAATACATTAGTCTGGACCTACAAAAGGTAATGGTGAAAAATCTATTAACAACATATGAAAAGACAAAGAAGAGTTGTCGGGGTAGCATATTAAAAACTAAGCAGGTTTAATTGGGCAACTGATGGGCTCCTTTGGCAGGACATGGAGAAGCAACACGTGTATACATTGCAGTTGGATTTTGGGGGTTGTTGTTTAACGCCACACTCAGCAATATTACAGGTATATGGCGGCGGTCTGTAAATAATCAAATCTGGACCTGACAATCCACTGATCAACCGCATGAGCATCGATCTATGCAATTGGGAAACGATGACATGTGTCAACCCAGGTCAGCGAGCCTGACCCGATCCCGTTAGTGGCCTTTTACGACAAGCATGGGTTAGCGAAGACCAGTTCTTACCCGGATCTTCACGTGTAAACACTAAAGGATACAGCATACGTTCGATTATTCCTCTGCACTGTTGTATATGTTGGAGAGGTTTTTATAAGACTTATGTCACTTAAGCATCAGATGCGGGAAATGAGGAAGATATGTGAGTTCGTTGGTGTAGAAAAAACGGATGACTTCCTGTCCAGAGTCTGTGCCAACAAAACAATGAAAGCCATGGGAGCCATGAAGAAGGAGACAAGAGAAAATGGCCTGTTTAGAAAGGGTAAGGATACATTTGAGAGATGTCAAGCAGGTATATCGCACGTGTAGTTCATAAGCTAGAAACCCGTGAAGATCCGGGTTACAATTGGTTTTCAGAAACCCATGCTTGCCGTATGAGGCGATTAACGTGATTGGCTGGTCAGGCTCGTTGACAACACATGCCATCGTATCTCAATTGCGTAGAACCCTGTTGATGCTTTTGATCATTGGCATGTCTGGTCCAGGCCGATTATTTACACACCGCCGGAATATTGCTGAGTGCAGCGTTAAACAACAAAACAACCAGCCAAATCATAGGCTAAAAGGCTGATTGTAAGATCCACAACAATTCATTGTTCTGCATTAAATGTTAAATAACAATAAGCAGTGATCTCCTGTGTACTCATATATGTGGTAGCTTGGATTAATATATAGATGAATATGTGACATGCAAATATGACAACGTACCCATGTGTCTTTACAGGTGGAGTAGGTGACTGGAAGAACTGGTTCACTGTCGCCAAGAACGAGTGGTTTGATCAGTTGTACCAGGAAAAGATGGCCGACTGCCCCCTTCAGTTCAAATACACATTGTAACTTGTCTGTTCTCCATTCAAATTAATACCGTGTTATTCACCATAGTGGTATTGTTTTTGTCTTATCAATATGAATATTTAATCCAGTCTTTTAACCATCGAATGTGTTTGTATCAGCCCTGTAGACACACTGTTTGAGTGTATGATATTGACCACATATGTAAGTTTAATACGCCTTCAAATTTGAGATCCTGTCATTCCATTAATGTTTTCCAAAGGATAATTTGTAATGACTTTCGAAAATCATATGTGCAACTATAATAAAAGACATCTGTCTGCGTTATCTAGATGGTTCGTTTACAGGCCGCCGTCAAATGGAAGAAGTGCTGGTGTGTGGCGTCTCTCTGTAAACAGATTTTAGGCGAATTGTGTGAATAGCGGTTGGGCGGGAAATGGTGACCCTTTTAGCGAACACATGATATCATCACTGATTTTCGTTTCCATTCACATGACTTTCACAACTATTTTGCCCGTAACACAAAATTGAATCTATTATATAAACTCACACGCATAAGAAACGCAAGTCTAGTATAAAGTAGATATGTACTTTTTTTTAACAGTAAAGAATACAAATACCAACAGCGTCAGATATAAAGAAATTTGAGCAAGAACAGTTCATTGGCAACAAAAACAGATGACGTCATTACATTTTGTGACAGCAAAAGATTTGCGAAGATTCTAGTCAATTGCCATGACGTCATTCAATACCTGGTGTGGCCACCATCAGCATTGATCACTGCAACACATCTCCTGTACATGGAGTGGATCAGACGATTCGTAAAGGCCCTGGGGATTCTCCTGCACACACCAAGAACAGCTGTACGAAGTTCATCAGCAGTTGTAGGCACTGGTCGCATTTCATTCAGGCGCCTTTGAACCTCATCCCACAAGTGCTCGATGGGGTTCAGGTCAGGGCTGAGAGCTGGCCACGTTAGGACAAGGATGTTGTGTTATGAAGTCCATGGTAACTCATGGAGTCTGATGACTTGGCCAATGTAACGCTGAGCTATGACCCCATGTCCTCGACCTTGACCCACATTCTGGAAGCACATTGGTCCAAGTCTCGCATTAAGTACAATTCCGGCCCAAATCATGACACTAGGTCCACCCCATGCATCCCTTTCCAAAACATTTCTGTCAGCAAAACGATCTCCTTGACGTCGCCATACTCTGACCCTTCTATCTGCATGTGACACACAAAACCGACTCTCATTAGAGAATATGACACGACTCCATTCACGTTGACGCCAGTTTTGATGACCCTGTGCCCACTGAAGTCGTGCTTGTCGATGCCGTGGTTGGAGGACAGGACGACGTGCTAGTCGGCGACTTCGTAGGTTGCTGGAACGCAGACGTCGGATGACAGTGTCACGGCTGGTGCGTCGATTATGCGTTCCTATGGTGTCTCGAGCAGTCTGGCTTGCTGTCAGGAAAGGATCTCGCTGGTGTTGACGTGTAATGTGTCGATCTTGTCGAGAGGTGGTGACCCTAGGTCGGCCGCTTCGGGGAAGGTCATCTGTAGTCTGCGTTGTGTTGTATCGATGCTGGAGACGGTAGATCGTGGTTATGTTGACATTCAAGTGACGGTCAACATCTTGGACAGACTCTCCAGCTTCCAACCGTCCGATAGCTAGGTTCCTCTCAAGTTGATTTAAACGTGGCATTGTCGAACAAAGAGTGACTGGCCAAAGATTTTGGCTCGGTTTTATATCCACTGGAGATGGTGACAACTCGTGCATGTTTGATTGCATGAGGAAAGTGTGCATGATGCCAACATCGCCATTGAAGTGGTGCGTTCTGGCGATTCGGGTTTTTTCTTCTGTTCCGACACTGGCTTTGCAAAACGCAACACCATCAACCATCATTATCTACCAATGTTGTTATAATTTTAGGGGTCTGAGTTTAATTCCTCCTTTGAGTATGAAACTTGCGTTTCTTTTGCGTGTGAGTATATATAGTCAAGACTGGGGATTATTTTGCATTGACGTTTCGTATTTAAAGGACACAATCTGTCTGCATTATCTACATGGTTCGTTTACAGGCCGCCGTCACATAGAAGACGTACTGGTATGTGGTGTCGGTCTGTAAATACAGTGCACCCTGGCTATAATGCCACCGTTTGCCCAGGAGAAAATATGGCTTTATATCCAGGGTGGCATTATAAGCAGGTAGGCCATTTAGGGACCCTTTGCTTAAAAAAGTCATTACTTTGATGACCATTCCTTATTGTCTATGCAATCAACAGGGTGATTGAACTGATGTTTCCTGTAATGAGTCGTGTATGACTGGACAATCCCGGCGTCTAGGGGCTGCAGGTGACTTCTTGTTCTAGGTGGCAGGCAGTGTATTGTCACATGTGTTAATCCATCTGGGAATTGTCCAGCAATTTAGTTAGTTCAATTAATCTGAGAGATGTCAATGAACCATTAAAAGTATGTATACGACATGCAGCCAGTGAAATTGGCATTATAACCAGGGGAACATGACTTTTGTTCAAAACAACATTGGCAAATTGCATTATATCCAGTTTGACATTATAACCAGGGTATCAGAAGGGCAGGGAATCCGTTCTGGCAGAAACATGGCATGTTATCCAGGGTGGCATTATAACCAGGGTGCATTGAACATTTTAGGCGAATTGTGTGAATAGCGAGTGGGCAGGAAATGTTGATCGTTTTAGCTAACACATGATATCATCACCGATTTTCATTTTCCATTCACATGACTTTCATAAATAGTTTGCCCTTTACCACAAATTGAATCTATTGCAAAAAGTACCACTCCCGTTTTGAAACACTTACATTGGCTTCAAGTGCAATACAGGATAACCTACAAACCTAATCTGTCCTTCCAGTGTGTAACAAACGTATAACAGTGCTCCGGAGTACCTGTGTGAACTTGTAAAACCGTACATTCCGACAAGGACACTCAGATCTAAAGACCGTCATTTATAGGCTGTCCCCTCTATCAAGATGACACGTTTTGGTGAGAAATAATATTTATATGCCTTTAGAACTGAAAACATGCCAAGATGTTTCTTCTTTCAAAACCGCATCTTCTTCGTCTCGCCTATCCTTTAAACTATATAACTTTGCCTTTCTCTTATCGTCCAGCGTTTTGACCATACAAACACACAAACACACACAGACATATTATATATATATATATTTATATAGTCAAGACTGCGTATTATTTTACATACACGTTTCATATTTAACGGACACAAAAAACAATGAACATGTATGACAGTTATCTGCATATTATACATTCATGGCAATCCATGTGTTGTTTTTTCATATGACATGAGCACATATCAGATGTCTAAAGTCTAACTTTACAAGATGTCCCAGAAGACCCGGGTTCGATTCCCCACATGGGCACAACGTGTGAAGCCCATTTCGGGTGTCTCTCGCCATGATATTGCTGGAATATTGCTAAAAGCGGTGTAAAACTAAACTCACTCACTCTACAAGATGACCGTCAGTGTCTTTCTTTTAACAATGGAAACAGAAAACAGTGGTTAACAGTGCTAGTTGTATAATCTATACTCAATTTATCATGCTAAAGGTATCGTGACAATGAGTCTTTTCATTGTTAATCGTGTGATCTATTTCGTTGCATCTGAACCAGAGAAAGAGAGAGGGTGAGTTTAGTTTTACGCCGCACTCAGCAATATTCCAGCTATATGGCGGCGGTCTGTAGATAATCGAGTCTGGACCAGACAATCCAGTGATCAACAGCATGAGCATCGATCTGCGCAACTGGGAACCGATGATATGTGTCAACCAAGTCAGCGAGCCTGACAACCCGATCCCGTTAGTCGCCTCTTACGACAAGCATAGTCGCCTTTTGTGGCAAGCGTGGGTTGCTGAAGACCTATTCTACCCCGGATCTTCACGGGCCCCTCTGAAACCAGGAGTGGTGGGGCTAGCTTAGTGGTAAAAGCGTTCGCTCGTCACGCCGATGACCGGGTTTCGATTAACCGCATGCGTACAATGTGTGAAGTCGATATCTGGTGTTTACCGCCGTGATATTGCTGGAGTTAATAGTTATCATCACATCTGCAATATTTCTGCCATATCGTGATAAAAACAATTAATATTTATAATAAAGATACACAAAACCAGAAATTACGTTGAAAAGTAAACCTAAAACTGTATCACAGATATCAAAGTAAAACTAGTATGTTATCGTAAAACGATATTATTAAAGAGAACAATACAATAAAACACTGGCTATAAATCGCCAGCAGCTAATGTTACATCACCATACTAGACACCATTGAGACATACAGTGTTGATATTGCTGGAATATCATCCTTGACTACTGGACCTGGACACGATAAACCCCATATACAAACAAATTACAAACAAATATCACAAACACTCACAAAATTCAAACACAACCTAAATCAAGCACCCTACTTACCACAGGTTTTATCTATTTAACGCCATTCTATTCCAAACTACCAAATATATTACTTAAAACCCTACCTATCCCCGTTGACGAAATTGGGATCCCAAGAAATCAACGCTGACCCCAAAAAACTTAGGCACTGGTTTTCAAGGGACTAATAGGATGGACGCACACCATACCTTTACAGAGTTTTCTAAACTGTGAACGATACACAGTTCTGATAACCATTGAGAAAACTCCACTGGAATGGGAGTGCTGGACAAGGTCATGTAAAGCGATGACAGCAGCACTCTAGTTAGACAAGAGGGCCAATTCATACACCTGTCATTTATTCTTTTATCTGATGGTTGTAGAATGTATCGATATTGACCCCTTGCAGATGCCCCAATGTATACATGCTTTTGGTCTCTAAATCTCCCCCCTCACGGGGGTTTCTTTCTGCTTAATGGGAATGGTTTGTTCTTGTCCAAATTACATATATTCAGAGACTAAGTGTCGATATCAATAACATTGGGGTTGACAAAAATAAGGGTAAAGAGGAATTCGAACCCCTGATCAGAAGTTTCTGGCACACCCAAAGGAGGCTACTCTGCACAGTGGTTGTGAGGCCCCAAGTGAAATGGCATGCGGAAAGAACTTGAATCTTTAGAATTGTACGAAATGTCACCTGCTTTCTTCATGTACAATAGCTTGAGGTCATGTTCTTGCCTCAGAGGCCTTGAAGGCTTTATGCCAATTTTATCACAGCAATCTTGAGACAGTCTTGAATTCTTAGTAGTGTGGAATTTAAGTAGTTTGCACTCCAGATCTTTTGAAAACAATTGCTTGTGAATTGCATGTACTGTCGTTGGAAACGTGAAACAATGA